CAAATACCTTTTTCTCAAGTTTGAAAGGAAGTCTTTTAATGGTTCAGAGGAATCCCACTCCGTTGTTTTTCTTCTCGATTAGCGATGGCTTCACCTCCAGAGGTAGTTCTTAGACCTTTGCAAGTGGAAATGAAGGGCATTCAACAAGTGTTTGGAAACCCCCAAAGCCTTCTTTCTCTCCATAGAATCCATTTTCTCTTAGACGGCCACTGACCTTATTAACAATCTTGGGTTTTAGTTTTGCCTGTGCCATCAGACAAGCAAACTCAACTGTTGCCTAAGCGCTGTGTTCCCGCCAGTCTCTCCATGGCGTCATGAATTATACATGTGTTTCCCTGTGCTGATTTCTCCCTCAACACACCAACATGCGCACTCCCCCTCCACCCCTCTAAGGAAAGAATGCGCTTGGTTGGCAGAGCAGAGCGGCAGAGGGGCTCTTAAGGCCAGGTGCAGAGGGGGGGGATGGTGTTGGAAGGGCGGGGGGAGAGGGAGGGAGTGTGGGCGAAAGGGGTAACCCGTGACTTCCAGACCAGCCTCTGCCAGGGCTGTGAAACGCTTCAGCGCTGACAGACCCTGTCCCCGTTTCCCCTCCCTCCTTCCATCTCTCTTATCCCCGTCTTTTCTCTCTTTCTCCACAGGGAGCTGGACCATAACGACATCTCGGGGACAATAGAGGACACCAACGGGGCCTTCTCTGGATTGGACAGCCTCAACAAGCTGTAAGTGTCTCCCTCTCCTTTCTTTCTCCTACCTCTCTCCTTCTCGACCAACCCCTCCTTTTCATCCCTCTGTCCTCCCCTGCCACTGATTCTCTCTGTGCTGTCCCAAAGACACAGAATGAGTTCTCATGTTGCGCCCAAAAGTTTCACCTCCCAATCTGAACTCACCCCTCATTGCCAGCTTAGTTTAGTTAAATTTAAGGAGTTATCTGTCCCCTCAGGACCCCACGCTTTAATTGGTAGGGAAGTGTCGGCACTGACAATGATTTATATGGCCCCTCTGAGTTTTTTGACAAGCTGCGTTCATGAAACTTCCAAAGCCAATTATTTATTTGTGCCAGCTCTATCTGGCTTTTGTATCATGATTGCATTGTTTCACCCAGCCTTATAGCCAAACTAGGTTTTCTTTGCTGCTAACAAGGAGATAGAGTGTGAGTCATTTTTCTACATCTTTTCACCATTACTCATCAGTGACGGCTGATAAAAAAAAAAGTTCAATGTCGAGAGTTGGCACGTTGATAAATTACAGCGGACGAGGCTTCTCTGGCACTGAGCGGCAATCATCAACCTTCAGGATGAAAAGATGATGTCCAGCCAAGATGGTTCCCAGTGTGAGCGCTGCTGAAAGAGAAGGAACGGGAGAGAGAGAGGCAGAAAGGGGCTTTTCTTCTTCGCCGGCAGGGGTTCGCTCCCCAATACAGGCTTATTTCTATTCCTCTCGTCCCCCTGTTTCCCAGTCCCTGTTGTTAGGAACTAACAGAGGGTAAAATCGAAGGCTGCATTCAGTCATCAACATCAAACGCCTCGCACGCCCCGCCCTCTGACCCTGCCCCCTTTGGTGCACGGCGTTGGCGGAAGCTGCCCACTGCATCCCAACGCTGGCAGAGAGAGCCATGGGAAAACCAAAAAGATGCAAAAAGGAAGGGCTGAGACATCAAAGTGTCCACCTCTCACACTGGCTTTCCGTAAAGCTGCTTGTCGCCCCATGGGAGGGAAGTGACAGATCTAAGCCAAGGAACATGAGGATTAGATCTTGGATTGAATGTGTTATTCTGATAGCCTTAGTATATTCCCTAAAACTAAAACATCCAAACTTGTCGTCCCCGTGATAAGACAGCCGTTTGTTTGTGTGTACATATGGATGGGCTGGAGCACCGGGGTCTTCATTGTGAAGCAGCCAGCCGTGTCTCCTCTTCCTGTGAAGTGAAGGTTACAACAGGAGGGGAGCGAGGGAGGGGGGAGGGGGGGAGAAGAGATTATGACCTCAAATCAGCAAACTCACTTCTCCCCGACCCGACACACTCACATGGCTATACGTATGTTCTTACAAGCTCCGCAGGGAACTTCCACACACACACACACACACACACACACACACACACACACACACACACACACACACACACACACATATACACACATAAAACACACTGCTCCGGTCAATGCTATTGAATTCTAATAAAGATAAAAGTGGTCTTTGAAGAGCAGCGCAGAGCCCAGGTGACCCCCTCCCCCCCTTCCCTTCCTCACACTCCAACCCTTCCTCCCCGCTAATCTCCACACAGTTCAGATTTCCAATACTTCAATCCCCCCCCCTCCCTCTTATCAGATTCAGCCTTGCTAATTGTGCTTCTCTCCCCCCCTCCTTCTCTCTCTTGTCACCCTCTCCCTCTCTCTCTCTTCATCTATCCACACCCTTTATGTTTGGAAACGGCAGGACTCTGTTTGGAAACAAGATCAAGTCGGTGGCCAAGAAAGCCTTCTCTGGCTTGGAGACCCTGGAACACCTGTGAGTATCCCACAATGCTTTTCTGCCCCTCCTCCCAAAGCCAGAGAGAGAAAGTAAGGAGGAGAGGGTGCAGTGTAGGGGTAGGGGGGGTGGGTACAGGGATTGCCAAAAGTAGCTGGCAGAGAGCAGGCCGCTAGCAATTTAATAGCGTCTTTGTAAAAGGAGAAGACCGAGGCTTTTGAGACGCCCAGCTGCCTCGCTCTTGTTAGCCTAGCGCAATCTCAACGTTGGCCTTTTATTTCTGCCGCCGCGCAGGAACAAAGTTATTGAGCATATGGCCAGATCCGCAGAAGAAATTATATTCCTATAAGCTCTTTCACAGGCCTCATGTCAAACCAGGGCAGGGAGGGAAGGAAAAGCTGGCATGTATCCTCAGATACACGGGCCTCGAGTCAGATCCTTGCTAATGAGAGCCGCTGTAATGTGAATACAGTGGATGAGACGCTGTGTAATGTGAATACAGTGGATGAGACGCTGTGTAATGTCCCAACAGGAACTTGGGGGAGAATGCTATCCGTTCCATCCAGCCCGACGCCTTCAGCAAAATGAAGAACCTCAAAACACTGTGAGTTCTGTCGATATATTCACACAAATACACATCAGAAGGCTCATACATGCAGGAACTTGAAGCTTCAAACTCATTCCCTCGGTGCTTGTTGGCGTCAGAAACACATATCAGTTACAGGTGCAATAGACGTGATATATAACACACACACTCCTCTGCAGTATCATCCAGAGCGACAGCTTCCTGTGTGACTGCCAGCTCCAATGGCTGCCTGACTGGCTGGTGACCCGCGGTCTGACGGCCGGCGCCAACGCTTCCTGCGCTCACCCCGAGAGCCTCAAAGGCACCAGCGTGTTCCAGGCTCCGCCCAGCAGCTTCGTGTGCGGTGAGTGAATCGCATGCTGACTGTTTATGTGGGCGGATGTGTTGGCCGAGCGAACAGCTTGGCGCTGTTCTGTTGTTTACATAGTTGCACATATTTGTTTGTGTGGTGTTTTGGAACTCTTGCTAATGGATCCTTATGTGTGTTTTATTAGCCGCTTTTAGTCCATTTAAGCATAGCAAGCAGACACCTACTGCTGAGAGACTGTTCGACTGTGATGTATGCTTCCAACGCACTTTGTCTTCTCTTTTCATCTCGTCCCTCACTCCGAGTCTACTCTTTATATTTTGACTGTCTATCTTACGCTTGAGCTCTTCTAACTCTAACTTATTTCTATCCGTCCCCCTTCAGACGACCTCCCAAAGCCCCAGATCACGGTGCAGCCGGAGACCTCTGTGACGGTCCTCGGCAGCGACGTGCGTCTCACGTGCACGGCGGCGAGCAGCAGCACCTCCCCCATGACCTTCGCCTGGCGGAAGGACCAGGAGCTGCTTCGCCACGCCGAGACGGAGAACTACGCCCACGTGCGCGCTCATCACCAAGGCACAACGTCCGACGTGCCGAGTGTAAACGGAGACGTGATGGAGTACACCACCATCCTGCACCTGCGGCACGTCACCTTCGCCCACGAGGGCCGCTACCAGTGCATCATCACCAACCACTTTGGCTCCACCTACTCCACCAAGGCCCGCCTCATCGTCAACGGTAGGTTTCTTAAACAAAAGGTTGTATTAAAGCATTAAATAGGTGTGAACAAGAGGAATATTGGAGGTCCAGCATCATGCGAAGCTAAGACAAGAAAGAGAGAGAAACCCTCTAACTTCCCTGTTGATATGTGTGTGATTACATCATTTCCACCGAATGAAATGCCTGTTTATGTTACACTAATCTGAGTTTGACAGCGGAGCAATTGAGATTAGTGGCCATGCTGAGTTATTTCTCTTTCCATTGAATAAAGTCTTTTCTTTCTTGCTCGGCCTCCTTCTCTCCCAGGATGGTATTCGGAACAAATGTATTTATCTGCATGTCAGCGGCTAACAGTGGCCAGCTCTTCTGCACTCTGTCACTCAGCTCTTCTGCGAGTGGAGGGTATTCATGTTGAGATCCTGAGTCTGAATCTTAGCTTTGAAGTGAAATGGCAGAATTAGGGTTAGTGGTTTCTTGCTGTGGTGGCGTACACGTCATACATGTAACAGTTAAGTAGGTTCAGGGGCTTGTGCTCCGACGTTCAGATGCCAGCACCAGCTGTGAATGCGTGGGTAGAAGTGTGAAGAGCGTGTAATGCTCTGTAATCCCGAACAACAGCTGTGAAGGTTCTTAACGCAAAATAACTGCAGGTGTGAAAGTGTAGAATGAGGGAATCGCTTCGAAACTAAAAACACAGTTCTGTTGGAGATGTTTTCACACAGCTGGTCCTGACACGTCTCTTCTGCCCACAGTCCTGCCGTCCTTCATGAAGACGCCGCGGGACAGCACCATCCGGACGGGCCACACGGCGAGGCTGGAGTGCGCCGCAGAGGGCCACCCGACGCCGCAGATCGCCTGGCAGAAAGACGGCGGCACGGACTTCCCCGCCGCCCGGGAGCGCCGAATGCACGTGATGCCCGACGACGACGTGTTCTTCATCATGGACGTGAAGCCGGAGGACATGGGCGTGTACAGCTGCACCGCCAAGAACACCGCCGGCACCGTCTCCACCAACGCCACTCTCACCGTGTTGGGTAAGAGCCCCTTTTTCTTTCCTCTACCTCTTTCTCTGTGTTTAGTTGAGCTAATATCGACACATGTTTGACTCCAGTGTTGATAGCGTTCCAACAGCCTCACATGGCGTTCAGTTGGGATTCGGTCGGTCCGAAGCCGCAGAATGAGAGCTTTATATTTTTTTTTTCTCGGCAGCTGTGGCCTTGCTGCAGGTCAAGGGCCAAAGGTCACAGTTGGGGGGTCAAAGGGGGGGATGGTGGTGAAGCAAAGGGGGGGTCTCACAGAGGGGTGTTTGTTAGGCATTCCCACCCCACCCCCGTTCTCCTCTCTCGGTGGGAGGGACAGTTATGGCTGCTTCACTGCAGGCCTCAGTGCTCCCACTTTATTGGCTGTTTTACACTGTTAAATCAAACAAAACGGAGCGGCTCTCCTATAACCATCAGGACACAGATCATCTTTGTGCTTTGTCTCGGGAAAAGCAGTCCCTTGTTGACCAGAGGGTTTTTTTTTTTTAAAGGGGGGGGGGGGGTTCTTTGCTAAATAGTGACAGGCCTTAAAGTTCCCCTTTAGGGCTCGGAAGTTTCTATATTTAACGCGGCCGTTTCTGTGACACATTGTGCGACTTGTGGGAGAATTTACAACAGTTCAGGCCGAGTGCTAATCCACTCAACAATGTCAAATATTGAAGCAGGCGGCCATGCCTCCGGACCGAATCTGTGATGTTTGGGTTTGAGAGATGGAGGGGGAATGAGAGGATGAAAGGGGGGGGGGCTGCAGTCGAGGGGCCCCATGTCTGGAAAAGAGTGGCGGGGGAGAAAAATGAGAGCCAAAGAAGAACTGGAATGGTGAAGTTTGTGTGAGTGGGGGGGGAAGGTGAGTGGGGGGGGAAGGTGAGTGGGATTTAGAGAAAAGAAAGAGGGGGGGGGGGGTTGATAGAGATGGAGAAAGTATTGATGGAGGAGAGAGGGGCATCTGAAGTGGGTTAAGTGAGATCTCTTAATCTGTGTATGTCCCACTGTGAAGGGAAGTGCTCTGTCTGAGAGGACACACACACACACACACTCTCACACACACTCTCAATGTGCCCCATTGAGCATATTGAGAAGTTGCCGGGGAAACACCGACAACATTGTTCCTGAGAGGATCCCGTCCCGAGAGAGATCTTGTTTGTGTGCTGTAATTAAAATGTATGATTAAGTGAAGTGATGTAAGAACCTGTTTCAGATAACATCTCAGGTGTAGAAATAGGATAGTTCGATGAGACTGAGAAGTGGTGGGATATCAAACTCAGGACATCTCTCTCTGTGCTCGACTGCCTCACCTGTCTGTAATTCATACTGTGAAGCTGATTTACAGTTCCTTTATTCGCCCCACAGAGGGGGGGATGTACATTGTTACAGCAAGAGTTAAGATAGAGACAACAAATAAAACACTATTAGATAAATGGCATGCACATAATATTTAAAATAAAAATGACAGTACCTATTTGTTATAACTGAGATGTATTTATTTAGGATAGACCACTTGAAATGGACCATCTCGTTTTCAAGGGAGGCCTTACATATATAACAAATAGCAAGACAGTAAAACAAAATTGGAAAAGAATAATACAATAAAATCAATCAGAGACAAAAATGTTATACAATACAAATGTGGACATTGTGGGGGAAACTTCTGAAGCAATTGGAGTCAGGACTCAGAGAGAGACACGATGGAGAGCTGGAGCTTTGATGGCAAACACTGACGGGTTTATTTGGAGCTTCGGCCGGAGAATTCACAAAACAGATCAAAGAGTCAGAGGTTCTGACTTCACGTCAATTCTGAAGAACTCTACCCCAGACCATGTATTTAGCTAGTTCAGAGAGAATCATCAACATTGTGCTTAACAACATAGAACCATAACACCTCTATCAGCTGACGCCAACAGGCAGGAACATAGAACCATAACGGCCCGTCCACACACAGGCATGAAAAAAATCTTGAAAAATCTTGATGCTAGGCGTGTCTGAAGCTTGGCGATTTCACGCGCCCAGGCGACCAACAACCAATCACATGAATCTCCCGCCCCCGACATACAAAGCAATAGCAATGTTGAAACGAAGTAAACTGGATATAAACTCCCCAAACAGGCGAAAACCTACCAGTTTCACCCACTGTCTCTGCCACCTCCCTCCATGCCTGGTTCCTCCGGTTTGTATCCCGGTAATACTAAATACTTCTGGTCGGAAAGAACCGGGTGATTTGCTACCGTAATTTCTCGTTTGGAATATGAGGAAATGAACTGCGGTCTGGCTCTCCCAGCTTGCACGCGGTTTGATTGGCTAGCACTTGTACTGGCGGGATTTGCATAAACGGGATTTGATTGGCTGATGCCAGCTTCGAAAGCATCGGTAGCATCAAAAGTTGAACGTTGCTCAACTTTTGATGCTCACAATGCTTGCAAAGCCATGCTCCGCTCCCCACAATGCAGTTCGGCGAAGATTAAAAATCTTCTACGTCACGGTCACCCCATTCAAGTGAATGGGCGAAGTTTTGAAAGATTTTTTTCATGCCTGTGTGTGGACAGGCCGTTACACCTCTATCAGCTGACGCCAACAGGCAGGAACATAGAACCATAACACCTCTATCAGCTGACGCCAACAGGCAGGAACATAGAACCATACCTCGATCAGCTGACGCCAACAGGCAGGAACAGGGAGACAGAACACTGAGAGCACAGCAGCCAAGGTTGCAGGTGTGTGTGCTCAGTCAGGACAGTTTGAACTGATAAACTGGGTCAAAGTTGGAAAATATTTCCCCAACAGAAATAACCACTATATGGCCACAGATAGGTCATGAATACAAATTATAATAATTGAAGTAAGAGTATAGTATAAGTACACATTCAGGTAGAAAAGTAGCAACAGCAGCAGTATTTGTATGACACGTAGAATGTAGACTTTGATGTTGTAAAATAACCCTAGAGTAACAGAATCCCTCCCCTCTGCCCCTCAGAAACTCCCCACCTGGCGCAGGAGATGGAGGACCGCAGCGTGGTGGTGGGCGACACGGTGGCCCTGCAGTGCAAGGCCCTTGGGAGCCCGCCGCCCCGCATCACCTGGCTGCGCAACGACCAGCCGCTGCGCCCCTCCGACAGACACCACTTCACCCCCGGCAACCAGCTGCTGGTGATCGGCGCCGCCTCTGTGGAGGACGCGGGGCGCTACACCTGCATGATGTCCAACACGCTGGGCACGGAGCGCGCCCACAGCCAGCTGCTGGTGACGCGCCGCCGCGGACCCTGCCCCTCCCCCTCCGGCCCGAGCACCGTCACTATAGGGATCATTGTCATCGCCGTGGTGACCAGCATCGTGGTGACGTCGCTGGTGTGGGTGTGCATCATCTACCAGACCAGGAAGAAGAGCGAGGAGTGCAGCGTCACCAACACAGGTGACTGCTCGGTCCTGATAGCAGGGGTGGAAGTAAACGCTGGGATTTCTTTTAAGGCAATTTAGGAGGAGCTATGTGAAAATAAAAACATGTATCACTCAGCACATTAATTCAAGTACTGTATTTCAGTACAAATGTGAGTTACTTTACTTGACTGTTTCCATTTAGTTACACATGAGTCACCGTTTGTTATGCCCACTAAAATCCATGTATCTCCAGATAAGTAGATTTTGAATATGTGTGATAAACTGAAGGATAAAGTGTTCCAGTAGGGGTTAAGAAGATTCTCCTATTTCTCTAGCTAAATAAACAATGGAAAATGCACTAAGCCAAGTCAGAAAGCTGAACAAAGCTTTGACTTAAAAAAATAAAAACAGGGCTGTTTTTTTTTCATGAAAAGGGGACATTTCTGAGATACGTGTTTCATGGGACAGCAACACTGAAAACATAGGATGATTTTATAATATAATGCAGTGATGTTGATTAATGAACCCTACAGAATATAAAAGAGTTACAATTAGAACAACCATAAACAGCAGTCAAATGTAACATATACTGCAATAGTAATATTATATAAACATCCTTTATGATTGGTAAAAAAACGGTCAGGGAACATTTGACTGCGTAACGACTCCTTGCATCCGTTTACAGAAGTAAGGGTGTGTAATTGTAGTGGAGTATATTCAAAGTGTGTTATTAGTAGTTTTAGTTAAGGATCAGAATAATCCCCCCCCCCCCCAGCTCTAATAATAATAATAATAATGCATTTTATTTATATAGCGCTTTTCACAACTCAAAGACGCTTTACAGTATGAGGGAGGGTAGACAAACAAGGACAGGCAAACAAGTAAGTAAAAAATAAATAGGCAGTCAAGAGGAAGTTGATTGAGAGGAGGGGGGGTGGCTTATGGGTAGACAGAGTTGAAAAGATGTGTTTTGACTGAAAAGACTGAAAGACTGAAAGACTGTGAGGGACTCAGAGTCACAGAGATCTTGGGGGAGGGAAACACAGCTCTGGTAGTAACGTCCCGTTTCTTCCCCCCCAGACGAGACGATAGTTCCTCCAGACGTCCCCAGCTACCTCTCGTCGCAGGGCACGCTGTCCGAGCGGCAGGATGTGTGTATCCGCGTGGAGGCGGGACCTCAGCCCAACGGACACATCGTGGACCCCACAGGTACGTGACACATGTTTATGCTACCCTGCAGTTTCTCCCAGATCCCATGAGCAAAAGTTGGCGTGTTGCGTAACACCTTCGTCTCTAAAGGCCTGCTCTGCATCAGAAATAATTACAGCAGACATTCTAACCACAGTGTTGACATCCAGTTGTTGATTCTCTGCCTCTAAATCATTCCTTCTCTGCCTGCAGGTTTCGACCCCGCCGTGGTGTGCACAGATTGCATGGAGAACGGCAGCAGCTACTCCAAAGACTCGGACTACCTGACGCACGGGTACGGCCACGCGGGAGGCTTGGAGTACCAGCAGCACTCTTTGCCCCCCCCCACACCCTCACTGTTACCCCGGGGAGCCGTACTCCATCCCGCTCTGCAACGGGACCCCCAACGGGATCCGGAAGGACAACCAAGGCTCCACGCTCCCAAAAAACCACAACACGTTACAGATGAACCAACACGATAGAAAAGGTAAGGCGATACAAAATCCAGTGAGACTAAAATGAGCTGCAGTGCAAATACATGCAACAGCTTTAGACAAAAACACTCCTCCTGAAGGCTTTTAGCAAGCGGTCTTTCCTGGAATATGATTTATATCAGGCGATACCCTGAGAAACCATTAGGAATGTAGGATCTCTTGTCAAGGCAAATCCCGTTGAATGTGATTGTTGATGGATTGGCTTCTACCAGAATTTGACACAATATGATAGCTGCCCACTCAGAGCCCCTCAGGACATCTCTTTGGAAACTCTAAAGAAGCTCCGAGTCCTCAGCTGCTGCCAAACTGCTGCAGTCGCACGCCCGGGCCCGTTCTGGGATTGCAGCGAGGGAAAAATGGCCTCCGAATACCAATTCTCACCTCCACATGTCAACGCAGCGCTATGCACACATTCCACCACCTCTGTATCCTAAAGCTGAATGCATATTTGTCTTCTTCACCACCTCACTGACTGATTTCTTCTTTCTCCTCCATCAGTGAGACAGACTTCATCGTTCTCCCCGTCGCAGGAGGACTCCTTCCACAAGCCGGTGAAGCTGGCGAGCCCCGGCCGCCCGGACAGTGACTTTGAGCCTGAGCTCCGACAGACTCTGCTGTCTAACGGACACGCCGTCAGAGCCTCTCAGAATGAGTGCGCCCCCCTAAGGAGAGCCAGCGACTAGCAGGCGCTCCATCCAGCCCCAAAAAAGCGGACTCGCAGTAGCCGAGTGGACTTTCTATATATTTTTTTGCACTGGGAAAATAAACTGCTACCTCATATCGAGGGCGATCGATCCCTAGCCTCCTGGATCTGGACTACAAGAGAGCACCAGGAGGGGGGGGGGGGGAAGGCACAGGGGGGGGCATCCGGAGTTTGAAGGTGGAGCTTGTGTGGGTGGTGTCCCATCTGAGCGTTATCAGCTGTACATAGTTTAAAAACCTTCCTCTGGGAGGTGACCAATTAAAAAGTTCTAGCTCCTAAAAATGTGACTTGCATTTGAAGCATGTAAATGTAGGGAATCTTGTACAGTATACGTATGTGCAGGGGAAAAGAGAAATATACCTTTGGACATTTGACTGTACATAAGAGTTTTGTTATATTATATATTATATAACTTTTACAAAAGAGTATTTGAATTTATGTGCATGACAAAGAAAGGAGTGATGGTATTTTTATTTTTCGTCAAAAAAAACAGCCATTTTCAGCTTTGACCAACATTCAGCTGCGGTGCCTTAATGCATGATCAAAGAAAAGTCATCTTGTAATAGCCTATATCCAGAGACTTTGTGAGAGACAGTGGTACACTCTTATAGCAAACAAACACTTGATTGCACTTGAATGTTTTTTCGCTGCCAAACATGGCCTTACAGAAACACAGTTCACATTCGTTGTTGTTTTATGAAGGAAGAGCTTTGATGTCAATTATTTCGGTACGGTTCACGCTGGGATATTTGTGGGCGGTCAGTTCAAGCACTTTTTGTATTCACGTCATAAGCAAGCAGATTGTGAACATGATATCTGCCAATGGGAATGCAGGAGCCTCCTCCTTTATGTGAGGAGACATTCCTCTTATTTTGACACGGTAAAGGCTACAGTACATACTGTACCATTAAGGCTCTTCCACCTGTTTCACAATTCTACAAATTACTGCCAAGCTGTTCCGAGGTAGAACATGTTCCTCTCTGAGTCTGATTTGTTTCTTTATTTGTCCAAGAAAGGTACTTTGGAGACAAACGTTTGTAAGTTTTCAACAAAATCTGTTCAAATTCATTCAAACAGCTCATTTAAAAGCTGCAAGAAGCCAGTAATGCTCATTCAGTTTGGAAATGGAACACCTGCTATGTGTTCTTGTTCACGTTCATTGGGAAATCTACAGCTATGTGACATTTAATTGGCTGAATGCTTAATTATACAATTGTTATTCCATGCAGACATTTTCTTCAATGTCCAGAGAATCAGGTCTGCACATTGTCTGGAGTTTCCCTTTCACACATGTCACACACAACAGAAGATTAGTCCTGTCAGACGATGTCTCACTTACTGGAAATATTTAGTTTGTTTTGTAGGAGGCCCAACATGACACATCACACTGTGATCATGTAGCCAGTTCGTAATTTGGTCATGAGCCATCATAAATGTGTCTGCCAAATCCGATGCAAGCTAGAAGTTTGAGAATCTGGTCTAAACCGTAATCATTATTGTAAGCGGGTTTTTAAAAAAAATTGCTTTCTGCAGTTTTCCCAGACATCTGACATTTCATAGACTTCGTACTAGGGATCTGGCTGGTTAAAGTCCGTTTTTATATTTAGTCTTCCTTGTTAAAAGGCTGTCCTAGTTAAAAGTTGCAGTGCATGTGTGAAAGGGGCTTCAGAAAGACGGAGAATGTTTAATTGTTTTACTGCTGTAATGTGCCTCAACATCCACCGTTGTGCATTCACAGGCAAACGGCCAGTACTCTGCCTCCGTCTCATCGCCACAGTGTAACAATAACTTCATCATCACTTCAGTTGAATATTGTTTAAGGTATCTAAAAGGTTGATGCTGTGAACAGTTGGGAAGCTTGTGAAATGTGCTCTAACCAAACTATTGGAGGAATAATACAGTCGGGTGTGTCGACAATCCCTGCATACACTGGGTCAGAATTCAGTCAAAAGTAGTTACATCGTCTAATCATTGTATTCATGCGTTTCGCCAGTTGTTCAAACTGTGTTCCGTTACCAGTGGCCTTATCAAGGTAAACTGGAGGACATGCTCCTCTGGTTACACCTGATGGCACCTATCAGAGGTGATTTTACCAGCAGGACCAATCAGAGATCCCGGTTTGGAAAGCTAATCCCAGTGTAGCAGATAAAAGGGACAAAAGGGAGGGAGGGGCAGTTCATGTTCCGAGTAATTTATTGAAAACTGTTCGAAAAACCGTTGTACCAATGTCGAAGCTGAAACAGTGAAGTGTCTAACATGGCATTGAAGTGTCTAATAAAAATCACATTTTGCTATTATGGGATGTGTCTTCATGTGTTTTTTTGTATGGAAAGAGTGACAGTAGAGTCACAAACAGCTGAGTTAGCATTTAGCAACCGTCACGTCACAGTGGTCATGGAGAAGCCATCAATTAATGGAGCATGCACCAAGACATGAAATCCAAGAGACCTTGATCTTCAAAGCACTGAAGACGCTTGTGCCTGGATAACACACACACACGTACACACAACGCTAATCTTCCGACCAGGAATGTGTCCTGGCTCCCTGAAGCTCCAAAGACAGCAGGCATACTTTTTCCTTCTGCGGGCTGTTTAAAATATTTGCCATTGAGTCGTAGCCATAGGTCGTAGCTGACTGAGGGTCAGTGGCTGGCCAGAATGTGCATTCCAGATGGATGTTTGTCACCGGATGATTGACATGCTCCCGGCCGTGGCCTCCACCAATCACACACTGACCATTGTTGTCCAACAGCCCAGTGACAAGCAGCATGACAAACGCTCCCACCTGTGAGGCCATCCGTCTCCTGACAGGATTTAAGTCTTCAGTTTTACCTCCGAAGGACAACACTGAGCTCATTCACTAAATACAAGAAGGGAAAACACTTGACTATGGCTAACTGTTCCTGCATGTTTAAATATTCCTTCTTAAATCAGCGTAGGTTATCTTGGTGTGCTCTCAATTTGAAAAGAGGGAACGTTAGTGGATATTGGCAACAGTATGCATTTGACTGGCTGTTGCAGAGGAAGGTGTCTTTTTACTGCAGCTACACTACAGTACAAGAAAAGATCATGTGTAACTCAAACCCTTCCTCCGTTATTGCAGTACATTTTAGAGCCTTACTTTTTCCTATAGTAAAATGTGGATACTATATCCAATAGGGCTGTGCAATTAATCGTATTTTAATCGCGATTACGATTATGGCTTGCGACGATTATGAAAACAGCATAATTGACAAAATACGATTATTTTGCTGGGTGCGCTTTCGCCCCTCCCTGAAAGCCCACTCGGCCACGTGGGAGTGACATGTGTTGTGAGTGTTCAGCGCGAGCGAAGATGTCAGAACAAGAGCAGCAACTCGTTAAAAAGAAGGGTACAACTATTTCCACTATTTGGAAGTACTTTCAGGAGTCCGACGTGGAGCAAAGTACAGTGCAGGATTTGTTACCAGGTTGTGTTGGCACCACACGCTAACACAACCAATCTCTTTAATCATCTGAAATACAACCACAACGTGCAATACGACCGGGCAATAATACAACAAAAAGCCGATGCCCGCTCGACTTCATCCACAACATCATCACAGTCATCGATTCAGGACGCATTGTACAGAGCAACGGCCTATGCGACGAGCTCGCAGAGACACAGAGATATTACAGGTGCCATTACATTTCACATCGCTAAAGATATGTGCCCAGTTAGCACTGTTAGCAACGAGGGCTTTAAGCAACTTGTCAACACGTTGGACAAGCGTTACGCGATGCCGTCTCGGTATTATTTCAGCAGGTCTGCGCTGCCTGCACTATATGACAAATGCCGTGGGGAAATTGAGAGATATGTGGCTTCAGCTGACTACTTTGTTACCACAACAGACCTATGGTCTAGCCCAGGGGTGCCCAACCAGTCGATCGCGAGATGTGTCTAAAAAATAGAACAACAATATTCTGTTTTATGTCCGGTAACATAATCTTCCTGTGCCAGAATAATGCACTTGAACGCATCAAAGCTTTGTGATTGGCCGGCGTCACCCCATGTGTCGGGGCGTGGCTGAGGGTCTTCAGTACAGGTGGCAATATCGTCACCTGCCTGCGCTCATCTCTGAAACCAGACCATGTAAACAGGCTGGTGTTTCTTGCAAAACATCTTTAAGAGATGACATGAGCAGCCTTACCAGCATTTGCCATGGTGGCCTAAACATTTTTATTTGGTCTTAAATTGTAGTTCAACATTTATTTCCTGTTACTTCTGGACCATGACGGTTGGCCAGCCTTCAACGTTTAACTGAGTGGAATATGTTGAATATGTTGAACCAAAAATGTTGGCTATATGTTAAGGAGTTTTCAGTAGGTTGTGACAGTGCACTGCATCATATTTGATTTCATTTATTTTGGTCTAATTTATTTTTATTTATCATATTAATAATATATGTTTAGTATGGTTTTGGAAGTGCGCTCCAACATATTTGTTGATCTTGTTTATTGGTAAAATATTATTTGTTTTAAAGTTCAATAAATGGTCAATGAATAATCGTCAAAATAATCGTGATATCAATTATTGACCCAAATAATCGTGATTATGATTTTTGCCATAATCGCACAGCCCTAATATCCAACATACATTAAAAAAAAATACCAATACCTGATGCCTGTGCAGTAAGCCGATGTAGCTATAGCTAGCAGACTGCTAGCTTAGCCTAGCATATTAAAGACTGAAACAACGGAACAGCTAGCCTGGCTATAAAGAGTAAGTTAGTAAGCTTCAGAGGTGCTAAAGACAGATTGTGTTGCTATTGGACTGAGCCAGACTAGCTCTTCCCCCTGCTTCAAGTTGTTGCGCTAAGCTAACAGTATCCTAGCTGTAGCATCATTCTTAGCGTACTGGCACACTAATGTTTTATCCTGAATATACATCTTTAAGTGGAGAAGAAAATGTATGTCTCCTCAAAACTAAAGCGATTAAGGTCACACAATTGCTGTATTGTTGAATGGCTGTTGTTGTTTTGTCAAGCTAACTTTTTTTAACTGGCAAGTTTACAGGTTTGAGCTTTAGGAGTCACTCTACAATGTCAAATCAATCAGGCTAACGTAACGACCTGATACAAATATTTCACAATAAACTAGACAGCTATATCCAAAACTGTAATACACCTGAGGCTAATAATACAAAGAGCCTTGTTAATTTAACAAAGTGCTCATTGTTGTAGGGATCCTTAGTATAAAAATGAAAGCCCTTGCAGGTGGATGAGCTCAGTTGTGCTCCAGCGGGATTGTAACAATGATGATATATTACTCTGTGTCTCTCCCCCCCTCCCCCCCGGTGGGTCTTAAAACAGGTGGCCAGACTTAGCTAAGAGAAAAATATGGATTACACATTAAAATGATCATGAAATCACATATTGGAAGCTTAACAGGGCCTTCTATTGGGGATCAAATCAACAAACCTCACCTTAAAACATAAAAAGAGTCGTTAATTACATCACTCATTGGTTCCCACACATACATGTTGAACAGTAAAGATGCTAGACTTGTGGGACAGGGTGTGGCTCCACTTAACACGCTACCATTTGTTACAGGAGTGTGAGCTCAGGCTGTTAAACTCAACAGCACTGATGAGCAGGAATGCAGCGATCAGGCCCTGGACGACTCTTCCCTCGAGCACCAGGTGTTCCTTGCTTTTCGGGGCCCAGCAGCATGGAGGTGCAGGGGCCCCCAGAGGAAGAGGGTGCTTCTCCAAGAGATGCTTCCTCCGCTGTTCCTCCACCAGGCTGGGGCTCAGGATTCTGTCAGAGGACGAGCTGCTACAGTAAAGTACAGCGGACTTTCTCGTAAGCTCCCAGGAAGATGAAACCGCCCACACTGATGAAGGTCATCCTCGGTATGCAGCCTGCAAACAGACTGCAGACAAAGAAGAGAAAGAACGATACGTGTTATTGCTGGAATCACATTTTGCAAAATAGTTTTGCTAAATAGTTTTCCAATACTAAAATCAAGAGGACACATGACAAACATTAATCTCTCACTGTTGTGCGAGGCAGCGTTAACAAGTGCATCTGCATTAATAAAGTTCAAACACTAACACAGTACCGCACAGTGATGGAGGATCATACCACAGTCTATGGCTAAAGAAAAAGCAAAAAGATAACTTGGGGCTAAAGGCGAACTAGTGTTGGAGCTAAGTAGTCTCATTTTGCCACTTGTTAGCTTTTTTTCAGACACATCAAAGCTTAAAAATTCACAAGTATTTAGACGGCTTACCAAAAACTACTCAAAAAACACATTGAATTGAAAAAGAGATAAGGGAAACAAAAGTGCAAAATTGCTGATTCATTTTCTGATTTGGGTAGGCCTTCTCAAATTTTTCGAGTTTCAAGGATTTCAGGATAACTAACTGTTTCTAACCAAAAAAGAAGGCTTCACTATGGCATATAGTTCATTTCATAACACGGCCCGTACTAAGCTAAGCATGAATGTGAGTGTTTCATTTCCACAAAATGTTTGGAATTACTTGGCCACATGCACGCACCTGAACCTCATCAAGAAGCACATGTTACAGGAGGAAGTTGTTTTTCTTTTCTTTTCGTGATCACATCTCCAAAATGTACCAGTTGTAGCTTAAAGAAACCCTTTGAACAGAGCTGAGAGCTGCTCCGACTGTCTCAGGTACTCTTCCACAGTATTTGTGGGTCATTTACCGTGCCTTCAGGTGTGGGTCAATCATGTTGCCTCCACCTCATAGAGAGCAATAAGAGCCCACGTTACAGCGACTAAGGCAAAATAAAAAGCTATAGACGTTGCGGAGGTCGAAGGATGTGATGAGCTATGAGAAAGCACCAGTCTCCCAAGAACCCCCTTGCCTCTCCCCGCTCCCCACCGCTGTTTTTGGGATTAGGCATAAAGCCCCCACCCTGAGGCCTCCCTGGAACTCTCACCCCCCCCCCCCCCCCCCCCCCCCCCCCCTTATTTCTCCCTCTGTGCATGACTGATGGCCGGATGACATCCACACATGTCCCTCCGCTGTCCTCCGGCCAGCGGCGGCCCCCTCAGCTGGCTCCATTGTCCGGGGATTTCGCCTCCAACATCTCCGTTTTCTTGCTGCGTCATCCATTTCTCAGACACATGCTCACGTTGTCCAGTCTGCCTTTCCATGTCTCGCTCTTCTTTTCATTCCACTATTCTCTCTGCCTTGTCTCTCCCTAGTCGTGTATTTGCATACCAACACCTTCTGCTTGCCAACACGCCTCCACGTTCACATGGTCTGACACCGGCCAAGCTCGAAGTAATGGATGAAGAGGATTGTGCCTACAGGGATGTTTGCCTGTGTGTGTGAGTGTGTGTGTGTGTGTGTGTGTGGTGTGTGTGTGTGTGTGTGTGTGTGTGTGTGTGTGTGTGTGTGTGTGTGTGTGTGTGTGTGTGTGTGTGAGAAAAGGGAGATGCACACAAAATGTCAGTCTGCATTCATCATTTGGGTTGGGTTTGTGTAAGTTCTTGTGTTTCTGTCCCATTTTGTGAAACTTATTAGTGTGTTTTCCATCACCTGTGGGTGAGCAGATGCTGACGAGAGGCTTTTGTATGGTCCTGTTTTTCATGGCAGAGGTTTGAATTGTTATAATAGAAAAAGCACAAGTGTTACTTATAACTGTAACGATGGCTCTGTTCTGATCACTTGTCCAATTGAGTCGTGTAACAACACCAGGACCCTGAAACTGAAGCAGCTAAATGCAATTCAACAATTTTTGATATAACTTTTTACAGCTGTGCTTTTCAAACTGTCAAATGTTACATTATTGTTTGTTGTTTCATGAGATAAAACCAATTACAGAGGCAATTGGACGATCATGTCATTCAGTTTTGATCTATATTTTGAGATGAGCAACTTTGGGCTTTATTTTATGACATCCAGTCTCTGATTCAACCGATTGATGGGAAATTGAGGACTATTTTTCTCTGGTATACCCATACTAGGGACTAACAGTTTGTATACCTCAGCAGTCAGTACACTACATATGTTGCTTACATTTGGAATATTCTTAATTTAACCCGTCATTCAGGAGTCTCTGTCATTGATGTGGGTGCAATACTAAGTTACGGGAGTTCCTCTTTGAGAATAATGAGCATTAGACATGAAAGAACATGCATTGTCATTTTGGATCGCAACACCTTCTCAAATTGAAGGACTATCAGGCCCACTAACAGTAAAATAAATTGTTAAAGTTTAAAATAACATGTGACCATCGCTCTTCACAAGGCAGACGGCACGTGATACAATGAAGGAAGACCCATGCAGTGGATTGCAGTCTATTGACTAAGGTTAAGAAAACAAAATATCAAAAGAACATGAGTCATTTTCAAAACGTTCAAGGACCCGTGGGAAACAGAGGATAAGTCTTTCAAAAGATCTTATCATCACAATTTGGCATCTTGGATTGATCTTAGCTTGGCAGTCCATTACCTTTTACAATGATGCACTAACTTTTTTCCTGACAACCAAGAAACAAGAACAAAAAACTACTAGGTGGATCTTAAGTTGAGGTTTTGACACTTCAGCTTTCACTGTTAATGTAAGGTTTAGGTCACCAACAGACACTGCAAATGCAAAGCTGTACAAGGTGCAAAGCATGTCAGGGATCTCTCAGTCATCTCAAGTATTCACAGAATGCCAAGGCCCGGATCGGGTGTTTTCTAAAAGACATCAAGTGAAGGGTTTAGTTGTGTGGGAGAGGCAAAAAGTGTGTTTGTGTGAGACAAGGGGAATCCAAGTGTGTTTGTGACTGGTGTAAAGTCCAAATAAAGAGCGAGACATTAGTCAGAGGTTGCTGTCCTGCCCTTCAGCGAGCTCTTTCCATCCCAACACAGCTTTCCATCACCATCTGCTGAAACATAAGCCACAGGCCCGCTGCAGAAAACTACTTAGCATTACTGACACAGCAATATTACATATGATATCCAAAGCTAATCAAAGAGATACAATCACGTACACAGAGCAGCTGGGCAGCTAAACAACGTGATAGACACAACAAGTCTGGACGTATTCACCTCCAACGTCTCATGTGATGGATCTGATCGCCAGCAGTGTGAGGAATGAACTAATTTTAAACTCCACGCTCTTGTTTTGTCGCAGCTCCGGACTACTGTTACATGTCCTGTCTGGGATCAGGCCCACCTGTGGAGTCCGAGACATCAGAGCAGAGCTCACATATTCCCCCTCGGCTCCCCCGGGTGCCCTGACTCGCTCCGACATCACAGCCTGGCCAGCCACTCAGAGCTGTCAGCCCCCTATTGTCGGCAAATCACCTCTCCTGAGGATCGGACTAAATATAGTTCCATTGCATGACAGGAGAGTGCATGAGAACAGTGGTAGACTCCAATAAATGTCTCAGATAAGGGAGTAGAAAAAGGCTGGGGTACTCGAAGAACAAGGGTGGAAATGTTTTAATGTATATTAGAGTACATTTGTGGTACTTGTTGAAGAGCAGGAATGCTGAGGTTAACATTTTCAGAGGATAAGTTCAAGAGGAAGAGACTAAACTAAAGAAGTTACATCAGTGTGATGTTTTACACATCCCTTCAGTAGAGAGTGGGTCTACTTGAACTTCTGGGACAAAACGTGATAATAACAAAAATAACAAAAAGTAAGAAACACATGTACCGCCATGTCTCTAAAAACACGAAACCTAACTTTGTCAGCCCAAACAGACATCGCAGGAAAAGGATTAAACGTAAAGTATGTGAGGTGTTGGGGATGGTCTTTGGAAAAGGGGTGCATTCATATATTTTCCAGCAGAACACCTTCATAAGTCTAGTATTCAGGCATGGGGATAAACAGAATACATGCAATAGTGTTGTTTTATTAGGATAAAAAAGAAACTGTACAAAAGAATAATCAGATTGGCGATACATTTAACACAAATGGTGGATATTAACAGGAGTTTAAAATACATTTTGTAATAAAGAAGGATATACAACCAACCTAAAAAGTCTATTACAGGAAAAACAATTGCTCCAATGGGTGAAAAACATTTTGCCAAAAAAAAGCAATTCAGGACAAACAGGGACATTTGCATCCAAGTTAATTAAATATGATTTATACGGGTACTGCTGCTGCTCTAAGTTCAATCCAGTAACTGAGATGTGCCGAATGATTCGAGTCCCAGGATGATGACAGCATTTTCACATCTGGAAGGCAGAACTTGCACTGCGATGGTGTTCCCCTTCTGCTTTAGAAAGACTGGGGAATTCTCTGACTTTATTTGCAGTAACTTAATAATTGTGATTCAATTGGAGTACTGACTAGTTTTTCCAACAGGTAATTAACCTCAAAATGAAGACAGACAACTTTGTTAGTAATATTATATTTTTCCCTTTGTCAAAAGTGCTCAAATCGCCCAACTTACCTTTTCTTTTTTGAAATGGTGAAAAACAAATATTCCTTGGGCCATACAAGAATAATTAAGTTCATACACAAACATCCTTTTGTTGTGTGTACAAACAAGTCCTTTGTTTACTTTTCCTCCATTTTGCTTTACATGAGGCACAAAGCAGACGCAGCCCGGAGGCCATGTTGCTTATTAGTCTTTGTTTTGACATGATTCCTGGTCCAGTTTGGTTACTAGAGATGGAGGGGGGGTGCGGGGTGAGCTCCCCTGCTCTCTGCTAACCCGGGGTCTCTGGGGCATGGCACACACATGGAAGCACTTTAGAGCTTCACTACACTGCAATTGGGCCTATTACCATAATTACAGCTTTAAAGCCCCAGCAATTTGTATCAGGCATGCACCAGCGCAACCACCAGGCCTTTGGCCCTGCGGAGAAAAAGCCCCCTCCCCCCTCCACCCTTTTTACTTTCTATACACTCTCCCCTGTCTCTGCATTTCATTATATTAGTTGCTCTCTTTCTTCTCATTCGTCACCTTCTCTGGTTACATCAATATCAGAGGAGTTTCTTCAGGGGTTCATCGTGTTGTACGGCTTATAGCGATGCACATTATGAGTCAGTTTTACAGCTGGACCCAGGGGAGCGCCGGAGGAGATAGAGGAGTGGAAAGATAGGAAAACTTCAAAGCGTGGTGCAGAGGTGGGGGACTGGCATCAAAGCGCTCCTCCGTACATTTCCGTGGGTTACTGTTGCAGCTGGGAGAGTGGGATTCAGGCTTTTTCCATCGGGGCCCGCCAACTATCACCTCATCGAGATCGTGCAGTAGTCTCAAACATGATCTTTATTAAAATTGACGGCTGGCTTATTACTGATGCTCGAGAGCGGTTTGTAGGGAATCACCCTTGGCTCATATTAAACACAAAGCTGAAATGTAGTTTGTCTTTGATTAGATTCCAGCGCTGCAGCCCGCACAAACAAACACAGAGGTTTGTGTTTGTAAGAGTGTGTGTTTGTGTGTCTCACTGGTGCTTGGCCCAGTCCCCAAACCAAATCTGCTATGAGCGTTAAGCCGAGGTGCATCCTAACTAAGTGATGGCGGCTTGTACACAAGCGGGGCTATTATTCACGCCGGCTGAGTGTTTGTTTTAGTGCTGGCAGCCCTCGGCGGCCCCATTAGACCTGGCCTTTTGTCCGGTGCGCATCATAAACACATCAAAACACTCAAATAAACCCTTCCACTTGGCCCCTGGAACACCTTAATCAATAGGCCGGTGCAGCGAGTGGGCAGGAAAAGCTTTTATAAGTCTAATTTTTCAGCTGCGGCTGTAAATTCGCCTGCTCCCAGAGTAGCGACTCTATCATCAAACTTGATTACGTGAGGGATCAGGCGCGGGTTGAATCAAATCATGTAAAATAAGAGGTTTTTAAAAACGGTTTGTGTAAAGAGGCTGTTCAGCTGTCACGTTGACAATCCCTCTGAAATGAAGACTCACCCTGGTAGGCCGCGGCTCCTCCACACGTTGCAGAGCACCCTGGGGATGTTCCCCCCCGCCTCGCTCGACCCGGCCTATAGAGAGGGAGACAGAAAGAGAAAATAAAGGTATGATGACGGATGGATCGTCTCCTTCCCTTCCTGCCCCCCCAACGGACACCCTGTTTAGTCTTCTTCAGCCGAGCTTCCTTCACCTCCCCCTCGCTTTTTTTGTATCCCTTCATTTCTCCTCATGGACAGCTGGGTCAGCAAAGGTGACACCTCCAACAGCCACCCAGGCACCCGTTGGAGAAACACCCAACCATTTGCCCACCCAAAAACACACGCGACAAGTTCTCCCTCCCCACCTGTCAGTCTAGAACTTTTATTTACATAATAAGGCTTAGCCGGCCAGAGAGTTTTTAATCCATCACTGTGGAGTGGCACAGGGGTCTGAGAGCTGCAGGAGAGGGGTGCCGGGGTTAAGTGAGGGGGGGCATTTCTTGCTACTTTGCACTTCTACTCCACTACAATTCAGAGGTCAATAGTGTACTTTTACTCCACTACATTTTTTAAATAACTTCAGTTACTTTGCATATTTGGAATAATGATGTGAAATATAATCAACACTTAAATAAGACTTAAGTTACACCTGGAGTCAAATTCACCATGCTATCCTGTAGTTCACAAAGTGATGAAAAGCTTTAATAATTCCTAAATGCAGCAATATTTATAATCAAAACATATGCTATTATGTGTATTATTCTGAAATTGGCCAATCTGTATAATGAGTACTTTACTTTTGGTACTTTAAGTAGATTTTGATGCCAATCATTTTCTACTTTTACTAAAGTGCAAAGTCTGAGTACTTTTCCACCTCTGCCGACAGGAGAGGGAAAGAAAAAAAGGCGTGTGTCTGTGTGTGTTTGAGCGTGTGTGCATGCACGGCAATCTACAGCTCACTGAGCATGTAGGAAACAGTTTGTAGCCACTGCCGTAAATTGTGACTCCCAGATCTGCTGAGAGGAACGAGAGGATGATTTCCACATTTCTTTCAAGAGAGCAGGGGGAAAAAAACACCCCTATGTATTTTGTTTCTGTTGGAGACAGGTGGCTGAGAAATGATTCTCTCCTCGTCTGACAAGTTTTTTTCTTTTCCTTTACCGCTGGAGGGAATGGAGGAGAAAGGTGTCCAAAACACACACACACACATACCATGTATACATCACTTCAGGGGACATTACATTGACTTACATGCATTTCCTGGAGACTTATCCTAACCCTAACCATAACCAACACATGCCTAACCCTAACCCTTACACTAACCCTAAACCTAACCAAGTCTTCACCCTAAAATTAATGATTGCCCTCATGGGGACCTCCAATTTGTCCCCATAAGGGAAGCCAATCCCCACACGTGACTATGTAAACAGATGTAGGTCCCCACAAGTATAGTAATGCTAGACCACACACACACACACACACACACACACACACACACACACACACACACAACACACACACACACCACACACACACACACACACACACACACACACACAACACACACACACACACACACACACACACACACACACACACACACACACACACACACAACACACACACAACACACACACACACACACACACACACACACACACACACACAACACACACACACACACACACACACACACACACACACACAACACCCCTGTGTAACTTAACGCTGACATAAAAAATATTAAATCTGTAAGTTTCTTCCTGCTTATATTGGCTTGCTGCTTTGTTATCTGAGTTCCTTACAGTTATGTGTGAATAGTAAAAACCTTTCCATGTTCTCCAATAAAACGAGATGACTGATAAACAAGGTGTTGGAGCGCACCAGCCGGATGTTGGCTCCTATGTTTGGGTGCATTGGAGGGTGGAGAACATGGCACTGATGGCAGCAGTGTGGTGAACCGGCAGGAAACACACCAGCCCCGAGGAGAAGAGCCGTGTTGTACAGTAGCAGCGTGGAGTGCCAGGCAGCAGTGGAGCCCTGGAGGGGATTTACACGTCCAGCTACGCCCTGGACATCCGCCTGCTGTACAACACCGCTCTTTCATTCTGCAGGCCGTAGAAAAAGAAGGCTACTGCTACTGCAGTGACAGAAACTAATGTGACACGTTCCAGCACCCATACTTCCTCCTTTCATCCAATCCAAAGCATCCATACCCATCAACACCAGCCCGCTCTCTGCCGGTTTCCCTCCTGCCTGGACCTGTCAGCCTCTGCGCGAGT